ATGTGGGGGACTTGGACTCACAACCTTCTGACTCAGAGGCCAAAGGGCTATCGACTGAGCTGACAAGCATTAACTTGTACAGAAGCCATGACTGGAGGTTAATTCGCTTTTTTTTGCTTCTTCTGGTTGTCTGTGCACAGGTGGCCGGCCAACTGTTACTCCATTACATTAATCCATTAAAGATCTGTAATCGCCTCGTGCTAAGCCTGTGAGCCTTGGAGCTGAACAGCTAATTATTTATGCCCCACTTTGTGCTGCATCCTAACCGTGTACTTATTACGTAGTTCACCTATGGTGAGTGCTGAAAGCTGCCGAGAGGTCATTTGGAATATTTTGACGGTCAGTCCTGGCACAGTGAGTGTACTCCCTGGCTAATCCCTGCACCCAGAATAACCAGTAGTTAGTAAATACTGAGGCTAGTCCAATAATAATAATAATCCTTGCATTTGATATAGCGCCTTATCACGTTGTTGAGACGTCTCGAAGCGCTTCACAGGATATATTGACTGTATATTTTGTCGGCGAAATGTGGCAATCAGTTGCGCACAGCAGTGTCCCACAAACAATCATGGATTGAGTGACCACATTTTTTTGGGGGGAAGGGATTATTATCTCCAGAAAACGATCCACCAATCGACTAATAGTCGAGTTCCTACTTACTGCTAGATAAACAGAGGTGTGCGAAGTAAGGGAACTTGCCTAAGAATTCGTCCTGCCCGGGAATCGAACCTGGGTCCTCTCGTTTATGAGGCGAGCTCGCTAACCACTCCGATACGGGACTCCAGTTAACCAGTGAATAATGAACAACTAGTCTAACATTCAACACTACACAGTATGTTAGAGACCCTGGTCAGTAGTACTCTCACTGCTGGGCTGGAAGGTTGTGGTTTGAAGCCCTACTGTGGGACTTTGAGCACCCTGCTGATACAGTGCTGGGGGGCGAGCTGCGTTGTTAGAGGAGCTCTCCCCTGTGTGTGTGTGTTTCTCTCTTTTACATGTGTGTTTGTGTGTAGTATAAGCTGACACTCGAATGCTGTACACTCAGAGGTGTGTGTTGTACTGTCTGAGTCAGTGTGTGTCTCTCTGTGTGTGAGTATGTCTGTGTGTGTCTCTCTCTCTGTCACTATGTCTGAGTGTGTGTGTCTCACTATGTATGTGCCTGTCTGTCTGCGAGTATTTCTGAGTGTGTCTGTCTGTCAGTATGTGTGTCTGTGTGTGAGTGTCAGTATGTCTGTGTGTTTGACTGTGTGAGCGTGCGTGTCTCTCTCTCTATGTCTGCGTGTGTCTCAGTTCAACTCTTGCAGCTGCTCTCAGATGGATAAAGACTTCTGTGGTTTTGTGACCACTGAGGCTGGTGGAGTGTGTGGGCGTGGTTTCCTGGTCAGGCTGTTTCTGATGGAGCGTTGTGTGCTGGGGCCTCCCCGGTGGAAAATAGTCAGCTTGTGTCTCTTTCTGACTGGTTTACAGTAAAGTATTATACTGGAAGCCCTCGCCCACAGCACAGGTGCCAGTCTAGTCTGTGTCACATCTGCCAGTTAGTAACTGTCCATACGTCACTCTTATCATGTCAATAATCCTTGCATCGTTGAGGCGTGTCAATACTTCACGGAATATACTGTAAAATGAATTGCCAGTTTATTTTGTGGGCAGAACAAGCAGTGCCCCACAAACAGTATCGAATTGAGTGAGCAAATTATTATTATTTTTTAGTGATTATTGCCCCCAAATCCTAGCAACCGGGTTCCTACTTGCTGCTAGATAAACAGAGGCGTGTGACGTAAAGAAACTTGCCCAGGAATTGGACACTGGTCCTCTCGCTCGTGAGGCGAGTGCTCTAACCAGTAAGCTACAGGACTCCCATCATGTTCCCATAATGGGATCGAGCTGTTTCTAAAATAGTTCAGTGTTCTGGCCTCTATTCCTGCTAACCCCTCCAGCTGTAACCTATCCTCTGTGTGAGAAATACTTCCTGGTCTCTGTTGCTTCTCACATCCCTCACCCTGTGGCCTCTTATCCTTGTTGTATCTGGAAGAAGGCCGCCATGTTTACTTTCTCAATCCCATCTTACAAAATAATAATAAAAATAATAATCCTTGCATTTGATTATAGCCTCTTTCATGTCGGGAGAACATCTCATAGGCTTTCACATGATTCTTGAACAACAACAACTTGCACTTATATTGTGCCCTCCAAGCAGGGTAGCGCCTCAGAGCACTTAAATTCACTGCAAAGTGGAGTGACTGTGCATTTTGTAAGCAATCATGGCAGCCAATATGAAAATAGCAATATCCCACAAACATCAGCGAAGTGAATGAGTTTCACAAGTTTTATCTTGTGGGGAATGTAATAAATAACCCTTGCAATCCTCACAGAGGGTAGATGGGTTTATGAAGGATAGAAGTTTAAAAGGGTGTGGGGATAGGGCAGGAAAATGGGATTGAATGAAGGGTTTGCTCTGAGAGCCAATGCAGTCTCGATGGGCTATCCTCTACCTTTCTCTTCTCCGATATCACCCACAAAACAGAGTCACTACACTTTACAGTATCACAATAATAAACAATAATCCTTCAATTTGATGTAGCGCCTCTCACATCAGGAGGGCGAGACACTTCCAGGTTATACAGTGAAGATGACACTGTGTTTTGTGGGCAAATATATCAGTCAATTTACGTCCAGCAATGTCCCTCAAACAGCTATGAAGTCGTGATCAATTTTATCTGAGTGATTGTTGACCGAGAGAATTCCCTTCCCTTTTCGAACAGTGCTGTGGGATCTTTAACTCTTTAACGTCCACCTGACAGAAAATCATGTGAAAATCATGAGATGTCCTCCCAATGTGAAAGGCACCATAACGAATGTAAGGATTATTATTATTATTAATAAGTGCTCTGAAATACTTTTATGTTACAGGTGTTGTATACAGGATTATGTTAATATTTGATTGTTCTCCCCTTGGCTGCCCTTTCATTGTTGAGGTATAATTCACTACACTTTACATTAAACTTTACGCTTTGCAGCAGTGTTTTGAGATATCAACCTGATGTGAAAGGTGGCTGTACCAAATGCAAAGATATTATTATTATTATTTACAATTCTGCAGACCCTGAGCACCCTCCATATCCAGCTGAAGTTACCATTATTTATGTATCCATCAAAGTCCTTTGGAAATGATGCTTCCGCGTTTCAACTTCCAAAGTTATGGACAAAGCTGGTCTCCATAAAGCTACATTCTGCATCTTGCCCAGTGATGTGTAAATTCTCATGTATGTGTGATGCAGGTTGGTGCTGCTTGATGGTGGCTCCTTCAGATATGGTGGGAATGTGCACTGTGCCAATCAAATTGCAGTACATGTGTGCGTTGGCGTGTGCGTTGGTGTGTGAGTACATGTACATGTGTGTGAGTAGTTCAGTGGTTAGAGCGCTTGCCTGGCAAGAAGAGACCTGGATTCGATTTCCAGCAGAGAAAAATCTTGGGCAAGTTTCGTTACTCCACACGCGTGATAATAATCCCTCAAGAAAAAAAAACAATAATAAATTGGTCACTTCAATCCACAACTGTTTGCGAGACACTGCTGTGCACAAATGGCTGCCGTGTTTTGCCCACAAATGTACAGTCGATTCACTTTACAGTATAATCTGCGAAGCGCTTTAAGACTTCTAAAAAACGTGAAAATCGCTATATTTTATTTTTTGGAGCGTGTGCGCGTGTATCAATACGTGTGTGTGTGTGGTGTGTATTGTGTCATATGTAGGTCTCATACACACACAGTGACTCTCACACACACAGTGTCTCACACGCACAACCTTCCGAGTCTGTGTGTATGTGAGTATGTGTGTGCGTGTTGGTGTGTGTCTGTGTGTGTCAGTGTGTGTGTCAGTGGGAGACATCAAACAAGATCCGGTCTGGTCTGAGGGAGGGACGCTGAATTGGGCTGCTCTGGTGCCCCCCCTGTTGGCCGTGCACAGCATGACACGCCAAATAGCGGGCGTGTTGCTGTCACTGTATGAAACCCTCCTAGAAAAGCTGTAGAGAAAATGTGCCGAGTTTTTCACGATGAGCCCGTGTTACCAAACCTTGAATGTTTTGTAAAAGTAAATATATCTGGCACGTCAGGGCTGAACCAGCTGGTAACACTTTTTGTCTCCGAGTTAATCAGAACAATCCTTGCATTTGATATAGCATCTTATCATGTCGTTGAGACGTCTCAAAGCGCTTCACAGAATATACTATGAAGTGGATTGACTATATATTTTGTGGGTCAAACGTGGCAGCCAATCGCGCACAGCGGTGTCCCACAAACAGTCATGGGTTAAGTGATCATTTTTTTTAAGTTAAAAGATTGTGGATTCAAATCCCATGTCAGGACTTTGAGCTCATACAGTGTACAACAACAGCAACAACAATATGCATTTATATAATGTCCTTCACGTGAGACAGTGTATCGGAGTGCTTCGTAGTTTGTGGGGAGTAGAGTTGGGGAGTTTGTGGTCAGTAGAGTTGTCAGTTTAGGTTCAGGTGGTTGTTAAAGATCGCTTGGAACTATTCAAAAAGAGAAAGGAATCTCTCCCTGTGTCCTGGCTGACAATTTCTCAGATAAAATTGGTTGTTTGCGTCATGGTTGTTTGTGGCATGTGGCTGTGCATAAATTGGCTCTTGCATTCACCTACAAAATACACAGTCACTGCACTTTACAGTAAATCCAGTGTAGAGCTTTGAGACGTCCTCCTGACGTGGAAGGCGATGCATCAAATGTAAGGGTTATTAGTGTTTTACGTTTACCAACAAAAAAGTCTCTACATGTGAAAGTAACTGATGTGAAGCTTTTATTTTTTCTGAGAATTCAACGGCATAATTCCCGTAAAAAGCATGACATGACCTTTGCTGCCGCTGTGTAAAACCCTCTTAGGAAAGCTATGGAGAAGATGTGCCTCTTTTCGCTATGAGCGGCCGCTGGTTAAGCGCAGCTTGTGTGTTGACTGTCCTGTTGTCTCTCCCGCAGCCCAGCGATGGACACCTCGATTACTCTCTGGCAGTTTCTCCGGCAGCTCTTGGACGAGGAGAAGAACGATCTGATCTGCTGGACGTCCAAGGACGGGGAATTCAAGCTGCGGAACGCGGAGGAGGTGGCCCGGCTCTGGGGGATGCGCAAGAACAAAACCAACATGAACTACGACAAGCTGAGCCGAGCTCTTCGCTATTACTACGACAAGGTGAGCAGGAGCGGGACTGTACGGGGTCATCTCTCTCCCCGTGAATGGATGCTTGAAGAGATGGAGGGACTGGACTATGAGGAGCCATAAAGTAAACTGGGTTTGGTCGACAACAACAGCAGCAAATTACATTTGTAAAGCACCTTCCGATGTCAGGAGGACGTTCCAAGGCGTTGAAAAGAGAAGGTTGAGAGGCGATATAATTTAATTTTTGTGAGATTCTAAAAGGACTGGATCTGTTTTATCTTGAACAGAACAGTAGAACCAGATGATAGGCCTTGCCGTCGAAGGAGTGGAAATTCAAAACAAATGGAAACACTCATTCAGGGAGCGAGTAGTAAATGTATGAAACATGCTCCCTCCCTGGAACCTGAACTGTTAGCTGCCTCCTTTCGGACTCCAACCCCCCAGCTGTGTAATACAGGTGTCAGCCAGGCTCAGTGTCGGCACTCTCGCCTCTGAATCAGATAGTTGTGGATTCAAACCCCACGTTGGAGATTTGAACTCATTTAGTCTTGGCTGACAGGGGAGCTCAGCAATGTTGGCGATGCCCTCGGATGAGACATTAAACCGTGCTCCCGTCTACCTGTTCGGCTGGATGTTAAAGATCTCATGACACTATTTGAAAAGAGAAGAGAGTTTCTATCTCTCTCTCCCGGTGTCCTGGCCAACAATCCCCCAGATAAAATTGTCCCCTCACCCCACAGCTGTTTGTGGGATATTGCTGTGTGGCATTGGCTACCGCTTTTGCCTGCAAAATACACTAATAATAGTAATATTTCATAATGAATTCTGTGAAGCGCTTTGAGACATCCTCCTGAAACGGAATGCTCTTATCAAAATCGAGGATCATTTTACTTTTAATAATTATCCTAGTTTTTGGTATAGTGCCTCATCACGTTGGAAGGACATCCCAAAGCGCCTCACGGGATTTACTGTGAAATGGGAAAATGGAATGACCGTGTATTTGTAGGCAAATGCGGCAACACAATTGTGCACAGCAGCGTCCCACAAATAGCCATGGAGTGAGTGACCAATTTAATTTGGGGGATGTGTCGTCCTGGACATCAGAAGAGAGAAACTCCCTTCTCTTTTCGAATTGTGCCACAGGATCTATAACATCTACCCTCAGTTTAACGTCTCATCTGAAGGACGACATCTCCGACCATAAAACATACCCCCGGCACCGTATTGGAGTGTCAACTTGGACGATGTGATTCCAAGTCCTGACCTGGGGGCTTGAACCCACAAACTTTTGACTCAGAGGTGAGAGTGCTACCGACTGAGCCAGGCTGACTCAAAAATAATGAGCAATAATTATTGCTAATGATAACTCGTTGGTTATGGTGGATAATTGAGGTTCCAATTCACAAAGTCTCACATCTTGATGTAAAATTTCAAAAGAACGTTAATAATAATCATCCTTGCATTCGATACGGTGCATTATCATGTCATTGAAACGCCTCAAAGCGCTTCACAGGATAGATTTACTGTGAATAGTGTAGCGACTGTGTTTTGTGGGCGAAACGCGGCAGCCAATTGCGTACAGCGGTCTTGGGTAGCGTGAGAGCCGGGGAGGGAGAGAGAGTCACTTCTGACTTTTATTTAAAACCCAACCTTTTTTTTTGGTAGAACATCATCAAGAAGGTGAACGGACAGAAGTTTGTTTACAAGTTTGTGTCGCTGCCCGACCCTGTGACGCTGGAGGCCGAAAAGTACACCGGCTCAGAGGGGGGGTGGGCGGTGCACAGGCCGAAGGAGGAAGGGCTTTGTCTGCAGAAGCAGCTGAAACCCACGGCCAGGGTCTCTCCCAGGAATGAGTACATGCGATCTGGACTTTACTCCACCTTCACCATCCAGTCGCTGCAGCACAGCAGCTACAAGCCCAGGGCAGCAGGAGACTCCCCGAGAAGCTGCTGCTCCGAGCCGGAGAGGAAACTGTCGGAGCTGTCAGCAGAGGAGCTACTGGCGGTGTCCGAGGGTCAGGCCTTGGGGGAGCAGCACCAGGGATCTGACCTCGAGGAGCCTCCGGCAGAGGCCAGCGATGATGCTTCTCACCTGAGTGATTTCAAGGTGAAAGTGGAGGCGGAGGAGGGGTCGGAGCAGGGCCCCCCCGTGCCTGAGTCTATCTCCATCGACCTGGAGATCCTGGACTCCCCTGAAGACCTGTCAGAAAGTGTCAGCAGCCTTCAGCCTCCGAAGCCCAAGAAGCCAAACCTGGAGCTGCCGGCCACATCCCCCATCACCCGGGCGAGCCCACCCCCGGATAAGACTAATGCGGGAGTGCTGAGCACTGTGGTGTTCCCCAGCCCCAGCGCTCTGACCCCCACACTGATCGCACAGCACGTCCAGGTACACAGCTCTGTTACCATAATAATCCTTGCACTTCATATAGCGCCTCGTTCACATCGTTGAGATGTCTCAAAGCGCTTCACAGGATAAATTAGTGACGTATATTGACTGCATATTTTTGTGGGTGAAACTGGGCAGCCAATTGTGCACAGCAGTGTCCCATAAACAATCATGGATTGAGTGACCAAATATATATTTGGAAAGGATTTTTACCTAGCAGTAAGTAGGAACCCTGTTGTTAGTCGATCTGCCAATTGGCTAAGAACCGGGTTTCTACTTACTGCTGTAGAGTAAGGAAACTTACTCTGAGTGGAGCTGAGTGGAGCAGAGCTAACCTCCGTGATAAGACACAGAGGGGGAAGATTCTCTTCCCGTTTTACTGAGAGAAATAGAGGGGGCTTTGCTCTGGCTGGAGTGGGGTGGGGGAAGGCACTGGGAATCTGAGGCGCAGACTGCTTTGGGACCCTACTTTGCATGAAGGTCATCATATAAATGCAAGTTGTTGTTGCTTCTAACTTCGTGCCATTGTCTCCCCTCACAGAATCCATTCATCCTGACACCAAGCGCTTTGCCGTCGGTCATTCATTTCTGGAGCACACTCAGTCCTATAGCCCCCAGGAGCCCCGCAAAGCTCTCCTTCCAGGTGAGATCAGAGACCAGAGGATGCTCAATGACGGAGCCTCACCTCTCTGGGAAACCGTGTTAGTTTGGAACTGCCGCAGAAAACCAAAGAAAGAACGTAGAGATCCAAACAATCCCACCCCCCAACATAATAATAATAATAATTATAAGAATAATGTTCTTTGCATTTGATATAATGCCTTATCATACATTTGATATAGCACCTTATGTCAAAGCACTTCACAGAATATACTGTACAATTGGATTAACTGCATTTTGTGGGCGAAACAGCAGCAGCACAAACAGTGTCTCACAAACGGTCATGAAACGAGTGACCAATTTTTACTTGGGGTATTGTTGGCCCAGACACTGGGAGAAACTCCCTTCTCTTTTCGAATAGTTGCTATGGGATGTTTAACATCCACCAGAACAGGCAGATGGGACTTTGGTTTAATGTCTTCTCAGATTATGTGATTCAAAGTCTCTGATGTGGGACTTGAACCCCAAACCCTCTGACTTGGAGACGAGATGTAACCTCTTTGGCAGGCTGACACACGATTATCACACCGATGGGTTCTAGTCATTAAAGCATAACAGCCTGGCTCAGTTATTAGCACTCTCGCTTCTGAGTTAGAAGTTCATGGGTTTAAGCCCCACATTAGGACTTGGAATTGGAACTCATGATTCAATGATTAGAAGACGGGGAAGGGGGAGTGATGAGGAGGGGAAGTGAGAGTCAGCGAGGGAAATTGGAAAAAGAGTAGAGGAAGGGAGTAAAAGGGGGTGATGGTTGGGTGCATAAGGTGGGAAAGAAAATAACTCAATATAATGATAATAATATTAATATGTACAAACATTAAAGAATTTCCTATGTTCCAGTTTCCTTCAGCGGGCAGTAGTCAGATCCACATCCCCATTGCCAGTGTGGACGGGCTGTCAACGCCCATTCTTCCATCACCAGGACTTCAGAAACCATGAAGGAGCTCAACACAAAGGAGAAGCGGAGAAAGCTACCCATGTGGGCGGAGTGCACGCTCTGGTGCAAACGTTCTTGAGGGAGAGAAGTTCAAACCGGCCATTGAACTGTCCCTCGTCCAGAGCTTCAGGGCACAATGTCGTTCCAGAGCTCCTGACACAGCCCGTCCAGAGAGGTCAACCTGAAGCTCAGCTCTCTGTCTACCTGATGCTGCCTCAAGTGTTGCCACTTCTGACCCAATGCCAGGTTGTGAGGCTGAGATCTGCGTTTGTGCTCTGACATCGCTTGTTATCAGGCACCAGGACTCAATGACAACAACAAATTGCATTTTTGTAGCATCTTTCACGTCAACAAACAGATGTGGGAGATGGATGTCTATTCGTTCCCGTCTGGTACTCAACGCCTTTTGGGTAACCCATAAGATTGGTCTGGATGTGAAGTGGGTGAGGTGGACATTCACCAAAGCGGAGGAACTAGTGTTGAGAGCAGACGCATTTGTGATTGAAGGGAGAGGCCCCAATTGTGATGGGTGCAGCAACCTTGTATATGGTCCCTAAGCCTGGTCTCGGATGTTTGTGCCCGTGTCTGTATGAGTGTGTAAATGGGAGTGATGAAACAGAGCGTCAATATTGGTTCAGACAGTGCCATTCACACGTGGACATCGTGTCTGGCAATCTACTGTTTATAATGTTGCTGTGTTGCCCAGCCGGGTGAAGGATGGACAGTCGCACGCATGTGGAAACCCACCCTCGCCCCATGGGGCTCAAGAGCATCCGATCTGAACGGCTGGGAGGTCCACATAATGGGTGGGATGGAGTGCGCACTCTCTCTGTTGCCTGGAGGGATGGACTCTATTCATTATTATTATGCAGAGCAATGGACAAGTGGGCACCAGCACACTACAGGGCTGTCAGGTTAAGTGGTAGGTATTGGGGTTTTGAGGCTCTGTTGCCTTTGATTCTCTGCTTATAGTACAGACTGGGTAAAGAAGGCCCTTTGGCCCATCTAATCTCATCCAGATCACCCACCCTATTGTACCCCCATCACTGCATTGAGCTGTTTTTTAAATGCGTCTAACTAGCCTCTACCTGACAACCTGTTCCAGTCGTTGATTATTCTGAGTAAGAAAAACTTCCTGGTGTTTGTCCTGAAATTGCCCTTTACAACTCTAAACCTATATCCTCTTGTTCTACTGTCATTATACATCTTAAAGTCCTTTTTACTATTCACACACTATCTCAACTACAACCTGTTCTATTGCACCTTTATTACTTTGGTGGAGTAAACTATTACTCTTTTCTTCCACCAGGGGACTCTGCAGTCCAGCCTGGTGGTGTAGGTATCATTTAACCCAAATAATAATAATAATTCTTACATTTCATTTGGTATTGCGCCTTTAAAGTCGGAAGGACGTCCCAAAGTGCTTCACAGGATTTACTGCAAAATGGAATCGCTGTGTGTTTGTGGGTGAATGTTCCAGCCAATTTGTGCAAAAACAGCCAAGAAGTGAGTGACCAATTTTATTTGGGGGATTGTTGGCCAAGGACACTGGGAGAGAGAAACTCAGTCACCTCAACAGGTAGATAGTTTAACGTTAGTTTAATGTCTCATTCGAAGGATGGCACCTCTGACAATGCAACACCCACTCCCAGCACTGCATTGGTTGTATCAGCTTAGACTGATTCCAAGTCTTAATATGGGGCTTGAACCCACAACCTTCTGACACAGAGGCCTGAGTCCTAACGACTAACCTATGATGGAGTGAATGTTTTTCAATGGGTGACAGGCCTATGGGTGTAGATGGTGACTGGTGACATGTTGGTTTTAAGGCAGTCATATAATTGAAAGGGGGGTTTGGGAGCGAACCCCAATTTTTACTAGGAAATACCTTGATGTACTTGCATCTGTTTGTTGCTTTATATAGTCGCTATATATCTATCAAAATCTATTAATAAATTGGCCTCTCCTAGAAATGCCTTCCCCCCCACCACCACCAAGTACACAGCTGAGCTGGAATCTTTGTTAGGTTTGCAGAGAAATGGAGTCCTGTAGCTCAGTGGTTAGAGCCCTCACCTCACAAGCGAGAGCACCCGGGTTTGATTCCCGGCAGGGTGAAACCTTAGGCAAGTTTCTTTACTCCACACGCCTCTGTTTACCTAGCAGTCAGTAGGAACCCGGTTGTTAGTCGATTTGTCAATCATTTCCCTGGAGTAATAATCCCTCAAGAAAAAAAATGTGGTCACTTAATCCACGACTGTTTGAGAGACACCGATGTGCACAATTGGCTGTCGTGTTTCGCCCGCAAGGTATACAGTCAATTCACTTTACAGTCGATCCTGTGAAGCGCTTTGAGACGTTAAGAAGACGTGAAAAATGCTATATCAAATGCAAGGATTATATATATTTATATGTAAGCGCTTTGAGATGTCTTAATGATGTGATTAGGTGCTATATCAAATGCAAGGATTTTATTTTCGTAATATTATAAATGACTTCCAAACTGAACCTGAATTTAAGAACTTTCTGTGTAATCTTAAATTTTAACATAAAACGGCTTTGCAGGCTAACATAACACTGGGTCCGATGTTGTGTATTGTGCATTTTGCCCTTGTTAGCAACATAAGAATCCTTGCATTTAACACAGTGTGTTTGATGTTGGGAGGACACCTTAAAGCCCTTAATGGGATTTACTGTAAAGTGTAGTGACTGTGTATTTGGGTCACAAACAACCATGAAATGAATGAGCACTTTCTATTATCTTGGGGATTGCTGGCCAGGACACCAGGAGAAACTCCCTTCCCTTTTTAAATAGCACCATGGGATCTTTACTGTCCACCAGAACAGCAGACGGGACCTCAGTTTAATGTTTCAACTCAGACAATACAGTGAACCCCTGGCACTGCATTGGGTTGTCCATCTTGACTGTGTGACGTAGGGCTTGAACACACAAGCTTCTGAGAGGTGAGAGAGTTATCAGAGGTGAGAGAGTTATCAGAGGTGAGAGAGTTATCAATTGAGCCAAGCTGACACCTATATTACTCTATGAAGATACTTGCCCCAAATTATTACCTAAACCACTGTAACTCAGTGCAAATTATTGATCACATGCCTGACAAAAGAGTGTTATGTAGACTTGCATCTTCAGGTAAGATGCACTGTTATTCACAGCACTGTACAAACTGTAAAATGTATTGAGTAAAGCAAATAGCTCGATAGTGTATTTATTTATGGATTTTCAGATTGAAGGCTTCCATAATAATAATAATAATCCTTGCATTTGATATAATGCCGTTTCGCATCGTTCATGCCTTAAAGCACTTCCCAGAATATATTGTAAAGTGGATGTCAGTCCTAGTGGCAGATGGTGTAGCAGGTCATTTGGTAATTAAGAAGAGCCAGTGTGAGCTTGGCTGATCCCCAACCTCTGACCTCCATCACCAAGAGAATTTGTTGCATTGAACCTCTCTCCTCCCTTGGCGTTTCCTTAAGCTAGATTTTTAGTAACAGGAGGAGCCACGACAGCAACGAGTTAAATTTATATAGAACCCTTCCCAGAAAATAATGTCTCGGAGCATTAACAGTGGCAGAGGCCAATGCCAAACCAGGTAGGGAGGGGAATATGGCCATAGACACGGCTGAAGAGGTAGATTTTAAGGTAGAGGTAGAGGGAGTTCCGGCGTTCGGAAGTGAGGAAAAAGTGTGGGGTGGGGGTACACATCAAGGTCAATTCACTTTACAGTCTATTCTGTGAAGCGCTCTGAGACATCTAGAAGACGTGAAAAGCACTATATCAACTGCAAGGATTATTATTATCAAGGGTGGCGGGGGGAACCTTGCTTGAAAGGAAGTGTCCTTTTTTTGCACTAAACACTGAACAAACTGTTAAATTTCTTCCTCCCCCACCCCCCACCATGAGAAGCCTGGGGATGGAAAACGGATCTGCGGCCAGTCAGAGAGGAAGTCACTGTTTGGTGTGTGGTGGAGAGGGGAGGGGAGGGGGCGGGGAAGTTGCTGATTGAAGAATAGGGGCACGTTATCCCTGTAGCTAACTAATAATGAAGATTTGTCCCGGATGCACTTACTGCTGACCACAAAATCCCAAGGGAGGTTCAGATGATTTTTTTGGGGGTGTCTGAGACATGTGGAAATCCATCAGTATGTTTAAAAGTATCGAGACTAGGCCCTTCAACCCATCTCATCTCATCCTTCCAGAAATGCCCATCTTCCTGTCCTCTCATGACAGTATCAAGCTGCGTCTTAAAATCCTCCAGTGTCTTGGCCCGTTAATAATAATAATAATTCTTGCATCCTCAACACTTTTTCGAGACGTCTCAAAGCGCTTTACAGAATATACTGTCAAGCTTGTGGGCGAAATGTTAGCCCTTTGTGCTGGTTAACGTCCTCTGTTTAGTTGGGGGCGATGCTGGCTGGACAGGTACATCTCAATGTGAGCTTACCATTGAGTGAAGACTGTGCTGCTTTTAACAGATCTTTAACAAAGTAGACGTGTGATTCAGTGCGTCTCTGAGGGTCTGGTTAGATAATGCTATGACCTGGTGCTGGTTCCTATTAGCCTTGTATTTACTGTGTAAACTGGCGACCGAGCACCGAGGGAATCGATCAATATTGAACGTGACAGATTTGGAAGTGAAATGTATCGCTACGGCAGCCCTCGCCTCAGAAGTGCTCCCAAGTAATCACTTGGGGAAGACTTTTGAGTCAACACGCCAAGGCTAACAGTGGTTTAGCGAAGAGCCTGATTATTTTAAATTGAGGTCTTTTCTAAACTTGACGAATCGGACGATGTCTGTGACTTTATATTGTTCATGATTCTCTCAAGACGAAAGGTCAAATTACCTTTTCTAACTTTGAAGGGTTTTTTTTGCCCGTAGGATCTGTTATTCGCAATGAAAATAAAATATATTTTTTATTAGAAAACGGCACTTGTGTTTATCTGTCTGGAAGTGCCCCGTGGTAATTGGTTTTAATCAGTGACTTTCCACTCTCAGCCAAGGACTTGAGCTAAGCACACTCCTCAAGTGAACTATTTGAACCCACAAACTTCTGATGTCCCATGTGAGCCACACACTGAATGTCATTGGGATCTTTATACTGTCTGAAACACTTGAAAACCCATCACCATGCTTAAGAAATCTCCAAACTCTTAGTCCATCTCCAAACTACAGTGATTACTGGAGATTTTTCGGTGCCTGGGATGGAGTGTGCACTCTCTCCCTGGAGGGATGAACCCTGCTTACCTAATGCTGGAAAGTATTTGGTGCAGGATGACGAGAGCCAAGGCTTTGGGACTCTGTTGGACATTAAGCTATTTGCTGCAGTTTAACCAGGTAAAAAGGCATAGCTTGCTATCATCCCGTGAACTGATGACTGAGGACCGAAGGAATCAATCCTACATTTTCTTTCCAGCAGCCAATTTGTCAACGTCCCACAAACAGCCATGAAATGGGGGATTTTCTCCGAGGGATTGCTGGCTGGGACACTGGGAAAGAGAAACTCCCTTCTATTTTCAAATCCACCATAACAGGTGGATTGACAGACTGGACCTTGGTTGAACGTCTCATCCAAAGGGTGGCACTGTCAATCCAGTGGTCCCCTCAGCACTGCACTGGATCGTCATCCTCCACCATGAGTTCAAAGTCTACAACCTTAATAATAATAATAATCCTTGAATTTGATATAGCGCTTTTTACGTCTGGAGGATGTCCCAAAGCGCTTCACAGAACACACTGTAAAGTGAATTGACTGTATATTTGTGGGCAAACGCGGCAGCCAATTGCGCACAGCAATGTCCCACAAACAGTCGTAGATTGAAAATGACCAATTTATTATTGTTTTTGGTTTTGGAGGGATTATTATTAGGCTCTGTGTGGAGTAAGGAAACTTGCCCGAGGTTTCGCCCTCTGCCTGGAATTGAACTCAGGTCTCTCACTTGCAAAGCGAGTGCTCTAACCACTAAGCTACAGGACTCCACCTTCTGACTGAAGAGGTGAGAGTGATACCAACTGAGCCAGACTGACATCTTGTGAGTACCGGGGCCCGATCCTGTCCCTATGGTG